TTAATTAAAATAATTATTGAATATGAGTGCTACTAATAAAAGAAAAATAGACCTCGAAAATCGAGAATTTCAAGATCGCTGGGAGATAGATTATTTATTTATTCTGAACCATAATGGTAAACCACAGTGTTTGGAATGTTTACAAATCATAGCTGTGTGTAAAGAATATAACTTGAAGCGCCATTATCTTTCCATGCATGAAAAAAAGTATCATTCGTACACGCGAGACATGAAAATACCACTAGTGAAAAAAATGAAAAAGCAGCTGGATCGTCAAACTAATTATTTTAATCAAGAACCAAAATTTCAAGAAGCATCTGTAGCTGCATCGTTTGAAGTTTGTTTAGAAATAGTAAAGGCAAAGAAGCCATTTTTGGATGGAGAATTAATTAAAAAATGTGCCATAAAAATGGCTCAAGCATTTAATGACAACGAAATGGTAAGAAAATTTCAAACAGTATCACTTTCTCACCAGACTGTAAGCCGACGTGTAAACGAGATTAGCATACATGTCACTAATAAATTAGAAAACCTAATCAATAGTTGTTGCTATTTTTCGGTAGCATTGGATGAAAGCACAGACATTTCCGATACAAGTCAAATGCTTATCTTTATAAGAACTGTAAATGAAAACTATAATTATTCAGAACTTTTAAAATTACAATCATTACACGGAACAACAAAAGGTGAAGATATTTACAAACAATTAAAATGTGCAGTAGAGCAGTTTGGCGGATTTGACAAGTGCACTGCTATTGTAACCGACGGTGCTAGAGCTATGACGGGCAAAAATATCGGGCTCGCGGGACTTTTGCAAAAAGAAGGAATAACATGTCGTATGTTACACTGTATTATCCATCAGGAGGCATTATGTGGTTTATCCCTACAACTAAAAGACGTAATGGACAACATTTGCAAAATTACTAATTTAATTCGCGGCGGAAATCGTTCTCTTACACACCGAAAATTTAAAACATTTTTGGATGAATTGGAAACTGAGTATGGAAATCTGCTTTTATATAGTAACATTCGTTGGTTAAGTGCTGGAAAGTGCTTGAGGAGATTCTTTACACTTNGAATCATGTTTAATAGGAATAATGAAAAAAATTATTTTTAGTTTCATCCATCTTGATATATGGTATAATTTTTTTTTTTCTAAAAACAATTGCCACCAAAATTAAAACAATTGTTCAATATTTCACAAGTATACTTAGTTACAGTCCAACTGCCGCAGAAGTAACTAATTTCTTTTACTTACTTTTTGTGATGAGATAACATTAAATAATTTACCATTATCTACAAGGCATTGGTTAGTGTGCACTGGCAGATTTACATTACAGTATGGAGTTAATTAGATTGGCTTCTGAAACAATAAAATTTTTTTTGACGGCCAATAAAATTTTGTCATTAAGTGGAATTAATCCTCATTATTAGAGAAACTTCTTATGAATATAAAAAGTTACAAGTATATCAAGTGCTTTGACACTAAAATTTAAAAAAATTTGAAATGCAGAGTTAATTGATTTGGCTTGTGAATGACTCAATTATTGATAAAAAAATTCATGAAAACAAATGGTTAAAAAAAATATATTTTTAAGTGATTTAAAATTTAAATTAATTATTGCTTATAATAGGCAAATCAAAACTGAATATTTTAATATTAAAAAAGATGATTTTAATAAGATAAGAGTTTAACAATCATTTATCTTCCTATATGAATATATGATAGCATATAATTATCATGAAATAATCAAAATAACATAATTAATTATATGTTATGCAGAAAAGTAAGTAAATCATTTGAGTTTATTAGAAAATAATTTTTTTTATTATTACATTAAGGAAAGTTATGATCAGAAGCTATTCTTGCTTTCATAAGAGCAGCATTCTATAAAAGCTATGAACTATGAACATAAATTCCAACAGAATGATTTGCAATTCTCATTTCAGTTTTGTTAGGATCACTTTATTAATTGGCATAGGTTTTTTGAGAAATTCTTTCCACCATTTTTTTGAATCGCAAAATGAACTCAGGTTTCCATTGGCAAATTTTGATAATCGGTGAATGTTACATTGAAGAAGCTTTCCATTAAACTGTTGGCTTTTACTATAGAACCTGTACTAATGAAAATGAAATCAGAAAAACTGATGCTTTAAAGAGAAAGCTGCAAAAGCTAGTATAGTGAGAAAAGCTATGAAATGTGAATACCCCTACTGAATACAATACTCATAGCTGACCAAATTATTATTTCTGCAACCCAAAGAGTGCTATTTTTTCCCAAACTTATCACAACAACTTTTGTATGTTATAATTCTCCCCGCTTTTTTTTTTAATTATTTTTTAGTACCTTTAACAAAATGCATTTTGTACTCATATCATCCCTCTTCAGTTGTTATACAATTGTTACATATTAAAACTATACAAAACAAAGCTACAAATAAATTCCCAATTTTATCAACAAAATTATTAAAACAAACTTACATTTGGTGCACAAATCAAATTATTAAATATACATTTGACTTTTGAATCTACAACATATCACGATGACTTTTGTATGTTATAAGTTTGGGAAATAAACAGCACTATTTGGATTGCTGAAATAATAATTTGATATAGATCCAAATAAGGAGGACTCATATTGATTTAAAACTTCATTCACTATATACAAAGAAGTTATATTTATTTATAATAAGCTTCTTGGAAATAATTTTAATTTTCTGGTGTAAATTTTTGCAAAACTAGTTTCATAAAGAAAAATCTTTTTCTTATATTTTATTTCTTCTTCTATGAAGATCACAAACTTGATGCAACAACTTTTATTTCTTCTAAAATAAGCATTTTGAGTGTTTTAGCACTCCTCTTCAGTTATCGATTATCTATATTACATTTTTTTTAAAAAATTACACAAATTTACAAATAGAACAACAAATAAAAACAGAAATTAATAGAAAATGCAATTCTCTACAGCTGAGATACTAAAAATAATTTATCATGAATATATATTAAAATAAAATTAAATATTAATACAGAATATAACTTTAAATAATACATAATCACCTCACGACCAACAATTGAAGAGGGATCCTCTAAAATAACTGTAACAGATGTGCTATTTGGGAATTGCCGCCATAGTTGGTTAATTGACATTGCTCTATAAAGTAAAGTAATTATTTTAGAAATAGCAATAAAAATTTAAGTTTTAAATTATTTATTTTTTCTTTCATAAACATACCTGACTGGTAATAATGAAGGCCATGATAAGGGAGTTCTAATATGCCAAAGTGATGTTAAAATATTAATAAGTTCTGTTTTTATAAAAGTAACATTATGCTCTATTCCTATTTCATATTGAGGATCATCACTGCTGGATTGAATGTTAAATACCTAAATAATTTCATAATACTTTAATTTTGATATAAATTCAAAAATTCTTCAACATCTGGAAAAATGTATAAACAGCATAACACTCAAAAGAACTTTAATATAAGAAAGAATATGGACAAATGTTTTTGATATGTAAGTAAGATCTGTCAAGTATCAGACATTCCAAATTGGAATATAAGAAAGGACATGAACTATTTTAAATATTTCTGAATGATTAATATAAGTAAGAATATGGGCAAATAGTTAAGTTTGCTGGAGATACTTAAGGTTCTTGTGTGTGTTATGACATTTCATATAAATCACATAAACCCCAAATTACATTATTAATAATAATAATTAGGTCAATCTTTTCTTCAGAATCTTCTAAATTAATTATCTTCTGATTATTAATTAAGTGCCATTTTTTTTAACAATACTGTCTACCTTTAAGCGAAATTCTCTAGCTTAATTTTTCTTTGGTATAGCCCAATATTAACCAGTTTGTTAGGCTTATTACTATTTTAATATTAATAAAATTTAATAATAAATTTTAATCAAAAGCAAAATAATAAATGACTGCACCTTTACTGTTGGATAAGCTGTAACTTTATAATTTCTGCACAATTGAACATTGATATCGTCAGAACAATCTACTGCTGCAACCTTTATTATGTTTTTCCAACCTAAAAAAATATTTAAAATTCTATCAATAATAATTGAATTAAAATTATTCTTAATATTACACAATAACAAAATTTTTATTTCTTTGAAAGTTATAAAAATTTGATTTATAACTATCAAAGAAATAAAAATTTGATTTAAAAGCTGCTTGTCATACAGGGTGATTTAGACCACCTGTTAACTTTATACCTCTGAAAATATTGCACTTTAAAAAATATATAAGGATTCTTCACATGTATTTTAGTAATAAAATTTTACACTTTAATTATCTAAAAGATTATTCTAGATTTTTATGTTAATTCTGATTTGCAAATTCCAGATTTGGATTATTTTTAATTTCTGTAATAAGTATTTTAAAAAATTAAAAAAAATAGAATTTAAAAAATAGTATTATTTTTAGAAAACAATCATATAAGCTGTTTTCTTTGTGGCATGTTTCTGTGTGAGGCCTTTGTAAACATGTTTGTGTTTGGTTTTGTCATGCCATTGAATTTTGTCTTCTTTTTTTCTTAACTTTTTTTTGGGGGGGAAATTTATATTTCTTTTTATTTATAAACTTTCCTACAAAACTATTCATTATATTTTACAAAAAAGGTCAGAAAAGTCAACAAATTTCTTTTGACTGACCATAAAAATTTAATTTAGCAAAAGAATCTGTGACATCGCTGTCTACACATAAAAAATATACAACATATTTAAATTCACATTTGGTTATTTCCATTTTGAAAAAATAATTCATTTACCGATTATTTAATTATTAAGAATATATGATCTAAATAACAATGTGCAACTTGCTAAAAATCAGCCAAGTGATGGTGTTACCATTTAATCAGTTATTGTCCCTTCACCCAAATACCAGTAATTTACTTTATTACCTTTGACATAAAACTTAATGCATAAAAATTTTAAAAGTATTTTGAAAATAAATGGGAGTAAACATTAATATGCTTCTTTGAATATAATTATTGCTTTGTTAGGCTGGAATCACACTGATGCAGCAAAAAGTCTTTATATAAATGTTTTGCTACTCTCTTTTGCACATGACAGCTGTTGCAATTTCAACATTGTACCATTCTTGTATGGCAATGAATGTAGATATGTCAGGAAGCACCCAATTAATCAAAAAGAAAATTGAAGAAAATAAGATAAATTAAGAAACAATGAGACCAAATTTCAAATTTTACTTGATTAAGTTTATTTGTTTTCATTTCAGAGCATTACACCAGATGAAAGATTGCTTATTATATTAAGATAAAAAAGTTTGGAAAGAAATTGTATAAATATAAAGTTTGTAAATGATATCTTTGTTGTCACAATCCTTTTGTAAAGTCATAAAAAATGTCTTCAATTAAAACAATTAACTTTTATGCATCTATCTCCATATCATCTATTAATACATAACATTTGTATAAAAATGTTTTTGCTGCAACAATATGCATCTAGTCTTACAGATCACTCTACTAAAAATTACTTTATTTACCATTTAAGAAAAAGATTTTTAACTTTTGTAACTGTTTCTGTAAAATATGATGGGACAAGTAGATACAAAGATAAATAAATAAAAAAACTAAATTGATTTCATTAAGAGAGGATCAAAAGAAAACAAAAATGAAATTTGTGGACACCACAGTGGAAGCAATTATTCAATGTATGGGGCATGTTCGAAAGTATGATACAATCTTTCATAACAAATTGTATTAAAAAGTTAAATTACCTATTTGAAAATACACTAAGCTTTTTTTCTTACACCTTTTTTAGTCTAAAAACTTTTCCCAGCAGGAGACAAAAGCAAATATTCCTTTCTGAAAAAATTTTCCATTATTTAGGTAACATATGAAAATTGAGAAAATTATACATGGCCAGTCCAATGATCAAATGTAAACTCATGACCACGTACCCGTTCAGTAGTTTTATCCACTCAGCCACTGATAGGCACTATTTATAATTGAAGAGGTTCATACCAATTTTTATATAAAACTGTGAGTTCATACCATGGTTTTATATAAAAAAATTGTTAGGAATTTTTTTTAGTTTTTCCTTGATTCAAATTAAAATTTAATCCTGAGGTTGTCTCACAATATTTTTATTTTTTGTTACATATTCATTTCTTCATATGAAAACGTGAAAATTTTATAATAATTTTTGAAATTTTGCATTCATTACTGCATTTTTGTATTGTAGCACTGAACATTAAAGTGCATAAAATTCAAATTCATTTTTTTTACTGTCTGTCTGTAGAAAAATTCATTATTCTTGCTGTTATATTCATTCTAACATTGAAACATTTTCTTATTCACACGAGTCTTGTGAGAAGGGAGTAAATATTAATTAAAATAGCTCTAATGAGTGTGTAAAAAAAAATGAGTGTGTTAAAAAAAGCATATGTACTGTACCTCTGGTATAGAGCATGAAAGATTTGTGCAATATAACAGTCATCTAATAATTATTCTTGGACTTCACGCTGGATATTATGTAATCAAGTTGAGAAAATTATCGTCTAGGCGTTAATAACCAACATCTATCGCTACAAATAACAAGCGCTTTCAACGAAACTATTTTCGTCTTCTTCAGGTTAATTAACAGAACAGTTAATGTTCTTCAAATTCAAAATTACGGCAACGGCAAACCAGCCTTGGAATAAAAACAAATAGAACAAAAACGGAGAATTTAAAAGATGCGCGCTCAGTGCCGACGCGCATGAGCAATAGATTATTTTGCGAGAATGCGGAGCTAGCGACGTTGTTTTAGTCTGTTGTACAAGTTGACCCACAAGGAAGGCACATCCAGCGTAGGAGTGTTGCATGGATTTAACACGCTGGTAAACAGCGCCTCCCATATATACAGGATGTTTCTGCTATCACACTGTTTGAGTATCCCCACCTGGTCCCACCTCGGAGAAAATTGGTGTTGCAACACTAATCTTGCCAACTCGGTGTCGCATCTACCCGTACTAATAGATTGTTTGTGTTCAGAGATGCGGCAAGACAACATTCTGGATGTCGCTCCGATATACTGGGTATGAGCACCCGATGTTGTACTTTCCAATGGGATGGAATACACTCCAGACCGCTCTAGTACAGACAAAGGATCCCTGTCGTTGCATAACACTCTTCTAAGGTTTGGTCGCGGTGACACTGGCAGGAAGAGAGCATGCTGCCTAAAAATACGGCAAACGCGGCCGGTAATACGGCCACAGAATGGTAATGGCGGCTGGATTATCGTACATTTTTCCGAGGCCTGTAAAGTTGTGTCAGGAAATAGAGATCTTTTAACCTTTCCAAGGATGTACCTGTACTTAGATCTAGTGTAACCTGCCGCGCTTAGAAGCGTTCCATATCCTCAAAAATTTTCTTATGGAGGTTTATTCTACCATCAAGTTTACCTGGGAAAAGGAAAAGGGAGGAGAAATTGCGTTTTTAGATCTAAAGATCACCAAAGCCCAGGATGAGATATTGTTCTCCGTGTTCCATAAGTTCAACAGCATACCTCCTTTAATCCCGGCCACCGCGTACCAGCCGCAACACTACGTCAACGCTGCTATTGCCCCTCTAATTAGAAGGGCCTTTTTGCTCTCTTCTAATCAAGCTCTTGTCAACATCGAGCTTGAGGCTATAAGTGCAGCGGTAAGCGCGGCGGGTTACGCTAGATCTAAGTACAGGTACATCCTTGGAAAGGTTAAAAGATCTCTATTTCCTGACACAACTTTACAGGCCTCGGAAAAATGTACGATAATCCAGCCGCCATTACCATTCTGTGGCCGTATTACCGGCCGCGTTTGCCGTATTTTTAGGCAGCATGCTCTCTTCCTGCCAGTGTCGCCGCGGCCAAACCTTAGAAGAGTGTTATGCAACGACAGGGATCCTTTGTCTGTACTAGAGCGGTCTGGAGTGTATTCCATCCCATTGGAAAGTACAACATCGGGTGCTCATACCCAGTATATCGGAGCGACATCCAGAATGTTGTCTTGCCGCATCTCTGAACACAAACAATCTATTAGTACGGGTAGATGCGACACCGAGTTGGCAAGATTAGTGTTGCAACACCAATTTTCTCCGAGGTGGGACCAGGTGGGGATACTCAAACAGTGTGATAGCAGAAACATCCTGTATATATGGGAGGCGCTGTTTACCAGCGTGTTAAATCCATGCAACACTCCCACGCTGGATGTGCCTTTCTTGTGGGTCAACTTGTACAACAGACTAAAACAACGTCGCTAGCTCCGCATTCTCGCAAAATAATCTATTGCTCATGCGCGTCGGCACTGAGCGCGCATCTTTTAAATTCTCCGTTTTTGTTCTATTTGTTTTTATTCCAAGGCTGGTTTGCCGTTGCCGTAATTTTGAATTTGAAGAACATTAACTGTTCTGTTAATTAACCTGAAGAAGACGAAAATAGTTTCGTTGAAAGCGCTTGTTATTTGTAGCGATAGATGTTGGTTATTAACGCCTAGATGATAATTTTCTCAACTTGATAACAGTAATCAATTAAACATTATAAAAGTTATTTTTCAAGACAATGTCAAATTTGAACTCAGCATAATTCAAAAGGATTATTTTGGATATAAACAGGGTGTCCAAAAGTTACTGTGCAATGGAAAAGGTTTATCAAGTAAAGTTTTACATATTATATTGTAACTTCTCCTACAGCAAATGTTAGAAATGTCTCCCAGAGGCCCAAAATCTAGGGAAGTTGTGGTCCAGAGACCCAGCAGGCCAAATTCCACCAGAGATTATGTGATCAGCAAAGAAATCTTCCAAAAACTGTAGTCCAAAACCCAGAACATGTATAAGCAAGCAGTAATATCATCTACAACAAAGTGGAAACAGAGGACATCTTACAGATCTTGTATATAATGCCATACATATAATTTCATGTCATTACAAATTTCTCATTGCACAGTAACTTTTTACATACTCTTATTATAAATTTTTTTTTACATTTTTAAGAATATACAAAGTATTTTCTTCTAGTTGTTTTTTAAATCTAAGCATATACAAGACAC